TCTAGGATGGACATCAAACAACAGGACATGAGGGGCGGTTTGGCCCAAGGAGCAGCGGCAGTCGCTCCAGGTGACCTCGCAAGCTCGTTCGACGGCGTCGAATTCACACCGGTGGAAAGTCCACCTTGAGAACTCTCCGCTGCGTTGTGGGCAGCATATGCAGTCTCTGCTGCATCCAAAGCGGCTTCCGCGGCTTCTAGCGCTGCCGTTTCCACTCCAAGCCAGTTTTCGCCCAGGGTGTGGGCACACTCTTTACATGGCCTCAGGGTGTAGGTCACGTTGGCAGTCCTTTGGCTGGCGCATTGGAAGGAGGCGTGCCAGCGTGCACCATGGTTCGTGTGGTGCACGTCCGCCAGGATCGCGGCTCTCACTCTGTTGCGAGCTTGGATCTTGACCTCCTGCTCGTACATGACCCTCATCTTATTTCGAACTGCCGATCGTGGAGTTCACGATGGGCTTTCATTTCTTCTTTGTGTCGGGCCTGTAGGGTGCTTATGACTTGCTCTGCTTGTTGGAGCTTGACTTGGAGGGTCTCCACCGTCTTTTCCAGCTGTTGTTCCTTCTTTCTGTGGCTGACCAGGGTGGTCAGGTCGCTGTAGCTGGTTTGGCTCGTTCCGTCCTTGAGGTGACGGCATTTTTCCTGCCGGTTGGTGAAGTAGTTCAGGGCCAGATTCACCAGCAGGGCTACCATGACGGTGAAGACAGCGAGGAAGGTGAAGTTCTGGTAGTCCATGTTGTCTGTCGGTGGTTCTGTAGGGTTTGTGGAGTGCGCAGTTGTTGTGGTTGCTAGAGAGGCTAGTAGTGCTAGCTGTGCCGTTGGCTTTGTCACTGCATAGCGCATTTGGCTGCTCTTGCGCTGTTCAACTGTTTTCTTCTTTGCTGCAGTGAAGTTCGGGTCTGGTCGTAGGCATGTTATGTGGCTGCGTAGTCGTTGTGCTAAAAGTGCTGCAGCGCTGTGTTTTGTCATGCCGTCGGCGAACTGAAGTTCGCTCGATACCCAGGCTACCGATGCTCCTGCGCAGGACAGTTTGTCCTTGGTCACTAAGACCTCGATGCTTGTTTGTTTGTCGGTTTGTGATCCTGTCTGTGGGTGAGAGTGAGTGAGAATGAGAGTGAGAGTGTGAGGGAGTGTGAGTGTGAGTAAGTGGGAGAGTGAGTGAGTGTGAGTGCATGTGAGTGAGAGTGAGAGTGGGAGAGTCGGGACAGTGAGTGTGAGTGTGAGCGAGAGCGAGAGGGAGAGGGAGAGCGAGAGTGAGAGTGAGAGTGAGTCAGTGAGTGAGTGAGAGAGTGAGAGTGTGAGTGTGTGTGCGAGTGAGAGTGGGGTGAGTGAGTGTGGGGTGAGTGAGTGTGAGTGCGAGTGTGAGAGTGAAAGTGTGTGTGGGTGATGTGAGTGTGAGTGCGAATGTGACGGGGTCAGAGTCTGGGTGGGAGTGGAGAGTGTGTGGGTGAGAGTGAGTGTGAGTTTGAGTGTGAATGTGGTTGTGAGTGAGTGAGAGAGTGAGCATCTGACAGCACGAATCACGAAATCTCCAGCCCTGCTTTTCACAGTTGCCTATAGTGTGTTTGTTTGCCGTGGGTCCAAGGACTTTTCCGCATTGTTCGTTGCGCGGCTGCATTTTTTGGAGCATCGTGAAGCGGTGAATTCGCGCACCAGTTGAACGTTTGTGGGGAGTTTCACGGCTGAGACATGAAATCCATTGGTGTTTGGGCGTGAACTGGGGCCTAGTGTTCCCAAGATGGCCTTCATGGACTGCCTGTGGAATTCACCAGGCTTGGTGCGACTTCACAAGGCGGCAAGCATCGCAGATGTGATCCAAATGCGTGTGAGATCTGAATATATGACGCTTGTGGCCAGAGCCCCGGGGTCATGGCGGAGGAAATTACGGTATATACATGCCCAGGTTGAGCAGTTGAGTCCGTTTGGCGTATATAAATAGTTGGCAGAGTAGCCATGAGTAGCCTGAATGAGCGGCTGGCTGGTAGAGCTTGCAAAGAGAAACGTGGACACGCACTCAGAGATTCTCCGGATGCATTGTTTCTCCTTTGTTCGTTCGTCCAGGGCGGTGCGCCGAAGGTCCCACCCTTCAAAAGTTGCTATATAAGATAATGATATCTAATCCAACTGCTGTTAGACTGAGTGAGCGCACTTGGGCAGCCAAACCATGTTGCCAATTTGGAGAGCCAACCATTGACCTTCCACACCTTGATCACGCACCCAGATGAAGATCCTTCGGCAGTCCATGGTGATAATTGCAGTGTGACTTGGCCACCGATGCATGGTAACAAGATGTAACAATGCCTAAAGAGTTGATATCAAACACTTCTTGTTACTAATAGCTTCTTGTTACTACTAGTAAGGCACTTGTTACTAGAACCGATGCACTT